ACGTGCGCAGCTGCATGGAGAAACTATGTATGGAGGCCGTAAGCTTGTGGCTCAGTCGGTCCTGCTCCCGGTAATAGAGGAGGAGTGGAGACGACTGCAAAGCGGCGAATTCGTTTTATGTCCTGGAACGTGGGAGGACTATCGGAGGTACTTTTTGCGGAGCTGCAGCAATGGCTACAGATGGAAAGACAAAAGGACATCAGCATCATCATACTGCAGGAGACACACTGGAATTTCAGTGGAGCCTGGTCTACGACCAACTGGCATTTTTGCCATTCAACAACGGGCAGGAAAGGAAGCGGGGGCATCATGGTTGGTGTTCGGACAGATGTTGTGGACATGCATGGCATCAGGTGGTTTGAAGCTGATCCAGGAAGACTCCTACAGGTACGATGCTTCTTGGACAAACAACAAATAGATGTCCTGGGATTTTACCAGTATGCGTTTCTTCAGAAGGCCGGGATGTCGGATCACATATTGAACCAACGACGACAACTGCTGTCGAAGCTGGACAAGCTTCTGTCGTCCTTGCCGGCCAGGTCGCAGATCGTACTGGGGGGCGACTTCAATGCCACGCTGGTTTCGTGAGAACAAGGTTAGTGGATATGGCTTATTGCACAGAGATCTGTCGGAGAAGGAACGCGCGGACCAGGACCATCTGATGCGGATACTGCAACGACATAAGCTCACGGCGTTGAACACGTGGAGCAGAAAGTCCAACGCTGCCACATATGTTCATGCAAAGGGAGGTAGCCAGATCGACTTCGTGTGCTCACGCAAATCAGTTGCGGACGGAGAGGCAAAGCGGGCGAGGCCGGTGGACACATACATGGCCGGCTGGAGGGTTACAGGGCACAAGCCGGTAATAGCCTCCATTCCCCATCGCTGGACTCCGTGGAAGCAGCCAAAGCGGCAGGACAACAATGTTTTGAAGGATTTAGGCGACAACGCGCCACTGCTACGGTACTGTCAAGAAAACCAGCCTTGTAATGTCACGCAGCTGAGGGAGGCCGTACAAAGAGCTGGTGGCATAGCACCGATGAAGGCCAAGAAGCCGGAGCTCGCTCCAGTGGACGACTCGATCAGCGGATGCTGGAAACTGCGTCGCAAACTCCACATTGCTCAGACGTTGCTTGGTGCGGGTTTCATCTTTGTTTTTCGGTACTTCAGACTTCACTTCGGCTCGCTTATAACAGGGCGCATAGAAATCTCAAGAAAGCGCTACGTGCTCGCAAGCGGCAGCGCACCCTGGAACTGCTGTCGCAAGCCGAGAAGGCAGCCAGTAAGAATGATGTCAGGGGATTGTATGGCATCGTCAATTTACTTTGTCCAAACAAGAATGCGCTGCGCATCAGGCTAAGGGATAAGGATGGCAATTTGATGTGTGGAGCCGATGAGTGTCGTGAGCTAGCACAGTACGCGAGGGAACTCTTCATGGCGCCGGAGTACCCGAAGCTGCAGCTGCTACCAATCGCGGCAGAGGAGATGTGCATTGAGCGCTGGCTGCGTGCAGCAAGGAAGCTGCAAGCTGAGAAGGCGGCACCCAACAACTCCCCCCCGCTTCGGAACTGGAAACAGCATAGTGAGCCTGTTGTCACCATTCTCCAAAAGCTGGCTTCAGGCAGTCTGTGTTGTGAGGAACCAGTCATACCAACGGAATGGACGGAGGTACAGTTGGCGTGGCTGGCAAAGCCGCGGAAGAGCCCGAGTACGCCGGCAAATCTGAGGACGGTGGGTCTGATGGCAGGGGACACCAAGATGTTCATGATGGTTCTGAAAGAAGCTATTTCCGAAAGGGTCATGCAGGGATTGTGGGACATTCCCCAATTTGCGTATCGCAAGTTCTCCAGCACGATTGATGCTTTGCTCAGGGGCAGTCTTCACTGCGAGCAGGTACGCAAACTAGCAGGCCGGGTCTGCAC